TTTGAATTTATATTAGTTCATACAAACACTCCATCCATGCTTTTGTTCTGGCCCTCCGGTCCAGTTTAAGAACCCATTGTGGCCCTTGAGTCAAAAAGTTTGCCCACCCCTGACCTAGACTCTAGGTGATGTGTGCCCAGGTGTTCATCATACTGTCCCTTCACCATCTCTAGTGAACTTTTGCACAATATAAGAAATTGGGGAAAGGGATTTAATCAAATTCATCTGGATGAACCTAGGGTTAATATGGGTTTCTATGGAAATCAGGATAACATTTTCTGCCTGACTGTCAAGTACCAGAGACCCAAGGATAAGCCATGCAGGTATTTGCCTATCAACACAACACAGTGCCTTGACACCCATGCTGGTCTCCCAGGACAAGGCCCAGTGCCCAGCACACAATAGATGCTCACTAGCCATGCATGGTGGGAGAACAGAGTGTTCACTGAAGTGGAACCTTTGTGGTAGGGTGCCCAGCAGTTCAACTAGTGGTGAAATGGAAGAAGGAAATGGGCAATATAACCACAGCCTTAAAGGACCATGACCTTGAAAGAAAAGAGACAGAGAAATTAACAGGAATGTTTGATGCAGAAGGGGAGAGTGGGATAAGATTGATCTAAAAAAGTGTTTTAGTAATGCTTAAAGTTTAGTTTTTATACCATAAGCAATAGAGGGCTATGATCTAAAAAAGGGTTTTAGTAATGCTTAAAGTTTAGCTTTTATACCATAAGCAATAGAGGGTTATGAAAGAGTTGAGCAGAAAAGTAACTTTAAAAAAAAAAAAAGGTAACTATGACAACAGCTGGGTGGTTAGGTTAGAGGGTGGTGCAGCACCAATAATGACCAATCAACACAAGAGCAAATTAATAACGATATAATTTAAGTACCACTGTACTGGGAGAGCCAAAGGAATGACAGCAGAATTTTAATAAAGTGGTGTTTGTAAAGGCTTTTATACATTAGCAAGAAAGGAGATAACGGTAATACACTTGATTTCTGACAACATAGAGGGTAATGGACCAAGTGATAATTCATATGATTTCACTTGTATGTGGGATCTAAAATAAACAAAACAAACAAACAAGCAAAACAAAAACAGACGCAGATACAGAGAACAAACTGATAGTTGCTAATGGTAAAATTCTACCTCCACACAGCCGACCAACCCTGGAACTCCTTCCTTCTCCCTCGGCTGTCCCAGTGCTGAGTACATAACAATGCCAAATCATTTGGGACACACTGACAGTGATTTACATAATTCCCTAACTGCACTGACAGATATATGCTCTGTCTCTCCAGGGACACCTTACACTCCTTTTTTGACAAAGATCATGTCTCCTGCTACCCTGTTAAATTTACCAGGCCACGTAGAATGCTTAAGCATTTTAACAGGTGTACAAAATCTGATGGCTCTGCACTGTCCTGGTTTTTCTGCAAGTCAGCCAAAACTGGACACTCAGGGGGAGAAGAGGGACTAACACAAAATTAAATTAAGTAGGACATTTATCAAGTCAAACTTTTGTCAAGTTAGGTACCTTAAATTGGAAAGAAAAGAAGGAAACATCCGTTCAACTCCTTCCAGCATAGCCTCTCCTCCTCATTAGCATCATAGAGAAAGAAATGCAAGGCAAATTTCCCTCTAACTTTTCTTCAGAAAATTAAGGCATTTTTTTTTCCTACAAGCTGCTTAAACATTCTGTTTCCACACAGTAGCAATAAACAGCCTCACCATAGCACTTGTTAACCTTTTTTTCTTCTAAGAAAATATCCCATTGCCCCAAAGCCCCACTATTCACAGCTTAATTTGTAAACCCCATTAGACGAAAAGTAGCAGAAAATTGTGTCCCACTTCATGCAGCACCTTCCCTGTAGTAGTGACACAAGCAATTAAGCTAATATGCCTGTGTCCCAAGAGGAGGAAAGGGGACAAAAGTCTCAACTTTTCTAAATGGAATGAAATTTTCCTTCACTACAGAAGCAAGGTTCAGAGGGTGAGAAAAGGAAATTGCAAAGCAGTTAAATTCACTCTTTAATAATACAAGACCATAATCAACTGCAAGTCCTTCAACTTACATTATGCCTTTCTACTGGGATACTCATGTAATTTCAAATGTATTACTGTAAAATCCTGGTCACTGGAGAGGCAAGAGACTGGGGGGATAAAACGGACTTTAATTAAAATATGAATAATCTAAGTCCAGCTAATTCAAAGCATCTGACTCCAACACCTAGTCAACTGGGAAACAGCAGCTGCTTCCAATTACAAGTGATTCTGAATTAACCGGTATCAGTATTTAATGAAGAAGCTGTGTATGTAGGAAATTTTCCAAATCAGCTGTGCACAGCACACAGCCTTAAAAAAAAACAAAAACCCAAAGACCCAAAGGCCTATCTATATAACCATATTCTAGGTCAGGATAGTTTTTCAGCTTGCTCTTGTCTTTGCCTCTGACCCCAAAGGCCAGTCTTTCTGTTGCCCCCTGTATTGGGCTTTCCAATCCCGGATCCTGGGAACACAGACACTTCACAGGCAGATATGACAGCTCTTCCTGCTTCCTGCACACCTCTTGCCTCTCTCTCTTCTGGCACCCACGGATGTGACCTCAAGTCAGAAATCCAGGTAACCCAGCAAAACCCATTTTTAATCCTAACACACAAAATGGGAAGCCTGAAAAATCTCTTGAAGTGCAGTGGCCTCTCTAGAAATAGCAAAACTATAAAGGCCTAACCTCCTTCAGCCAGGACACTCCTACCAGCCTCTGTGGAAAGAACATTCCAGAAGGCCATCCAGCTTCTAACTGCAGGTGGAGCTTTAGACCATCAGATTCTCAATAGCATTTTTTCCCCCAATAGCTTTTTAAGGGTCCCACTGATGTGATAGGTGGGAGAGTGGAAAATAACAGGAAAGGAGAAGTGGAAACCTCTAAAATCTCCTTCTTAGATGCAGGAAAGACTAAAGAAGCTAAGCAGCAGCACTAAGAGAAAAACCCAGATGCAAAAGTCAGCCAACCAGATTGCTGGCTCTGGTCTTCTAAATCACCCTTTTATACATAAAAATTCAAGTTCTAAAACCTCCCTCTCATCTCCTGGGCTGATATATAATAAAGCACTCTGGAGACATCAGTTACCAAGGCTGTGTTAAATTATCTGAATTAATTTGGATCTGAGAACCCGACAATGCTTGCTGAACTGCCCTTTCCCCACACACGTCCTGTCTTACAAATAGAACATGTTTCTTCAGAACAAAATACTAGATAATACACAGAAACCTTTAGCTTTTCTGTGAAAATAAGAATCACTTAATTTTCTAGTTAATAGACAAAAATCCACTGGGTTCTTCTTACACCTCCACAGAAGCACACAAAAACATTATGGCTGTCCCCAAAAGTCTCATAAAATGCAAAGAATAATATTTCATAATGCCCAAAAACCTTATTTTTAAAAACTAGGAAAGGAAAAAGAACAGAAAAACTTGGGAGAAATACAGAAGGGGGGAAAAAATGAAACCAATAGGTTCTTCAGTGAGTCTCCCCACAAAATGAGATTGATCTTTAGGAATGCAGGATATTATTAATTTCTAAATATCATGCTTCAAAAAATAATGCCCTTAGAAACAACTTTGCAAAGAACACAATCATTATTTGAAGATCATTTCTTTACTTTTATAAGTAAGGGCTTGTATTGTCCCAGAGGAGGCACAGTGGGAACCTGTGCAGAAGGAGATTATAAACACTCATCCATCCCACTTATAAATCTTTAATCATTTGGCTATTCAACTCAATATATGTTTAGAGAGAACCCACAATGTGTATTCATTATTGTTAGCAAATAAAAAATATTTTTTAAAATAGTCTCAAGACATCAGTGCACAGCACTGTGGGGAAGACTAGGACATGCAGTTACTCTTAATATGAGGAAGTTTCAATGTTTCTAGGCAGGATCCTCCCCACCTCCACCCCCGGAAACTGAGCGAGTAAAAAATAAAAACCCACAAAATCCAGTAAGCACCGAATCTGAATAGTCCAACTTCCTTCTCCATAAATAGCCACTTAATAGGTTTTATTTTGTATGCTGATAACACATAAATGCAATCTCTTAACCTATCACACCTTTTAACCCGAGAGAAAAATCATTAAGATACTGTTTAACACTTGGGAGAATAATTTTTCAAAACATTAGTAGGAGGTGGGACCAAGGGGGAGCTGGGTTTATAAATTCAGTGACATGTAGCAATAAAATCGCAATAGAAATCAAATGCACAGGAAGTGCCAGACATTCCAAATTATTTGGCACAGATACTAAACTTAGGCCCCCCATTTAACAGATAAGGAAACTGAGACACAGAGAGATTAAGTAAATTAGGAGATCAAGTAAATGACAAGAATCATAATTGAAGCCCAGGGATCTGGCTGCAGAACCTGGAGGCAGTACTCCTGCCAAGATGGGGAAGACAGCACAAACCTTCAAAGTGAAACAGGATTAGGAGTCAAATCTCAGCTGAGGGGGGAGATTTGAATAGCCTTGTTTCCTCAACTGCAATTGGGAAAAAATGCCCACATCACAGAGTTGTGGTTAGACCTGAATAGGTAAAATACTGTACATAAAACATTTATTTTTAGGTATGTTTTTGATCAAAGTACTCCAATAGAGAGCTTTCCTTTTTTTAAAAAACATACAAGCATAAACTCATCATTTCAACATGAGTTCTGGATAGAAACCAGCAAGACAGCAAGGACTCTACACAGAAATTCCTGTGACTGCCCTGTGTTTACCAAATGAGACATGACAGAGTTTGAGGAATTGTATAACACTATACAGACAGTGCATTATAACTAGTTGTCTGTAAGGAAACAACACCAGGCTTCCTTCCAGAATAAGAAGTGAATGGTCCTCAGAGAGGAGCATTCAAGACACTGGGCCAAAAGAGGTTTCTTCAAGCACTGCTTAGGTTTTACAACCCCATCATGGCTGTTGTGTTATCCGCCCTCCCCCCGCCCTATGCTTGTCTCCAAGACCTGAAACTGAGAGCCACCAGTCAGTCAGTCAATCACGGTTCACTGGGACTGCTGTAGCACTGGAATGGAACCCGTCAGCCACAGCAAGATTAACAGGTCACGAACAGTGCTTCCCATCACTGTTTTTATTTTATTTTTTTAACTTTTTTGTTGTTAATCCTCACCCAAGGATATTTTTTCATTGACTTTTAGGAAGAGTGGAAGAGAGAGGGAAAGACAGAGAGAAACATCAATTGTTTGCCTCCAGCATGAGCCCCGACCAGAGACCAGGCCAGGGAGGAGCCAGCAACCAAGGTACGTGCCCTTGACTGGAATTGAAACCGGGACCCTTTGGTCCAGCGATCGCCAACCAGTGGTCTGTGAGGTCCAAAAGTTTGGCAACCGCTGGTTTAAGGAAACCTTTGGAGCAGCGGTCGCCAACCGGTGGTCCCTGAGATCTGAAAGGTTGGCGACCGCTGCTTTGGTCCAAAGGCCAACGCTCTATCCACTGAGCCAAACCGGCTAGGGCCCATCACTGTTTTTAAACATCATTCAATTGTGGGAGAATGACTACCATGATCTTCAGTCTCTGGTAGTTCAGAAATTTTTTGGTAGAGGAGATCTTTGGTAATGAAGCTACTCATGTTAGAACAAAGACATGAGAAGAGGAAGAGAACCACTGCACGAACTACCCACAAGAATAAAATTAGTCCTAAACCCTTGCTTGATACAGGAAGATCCCCAGAGAGACTGGGAGAAATACAGAATCTCAGGCCCCACCTCTGACTGCTGAATGAGAAGATCCCCTTTAACACAATCCCTGTGCAATTCCTATCACTGGTCTAAAACCCTCATATTTGGTCTCAATCCTGGATTTCCCTCTTCATGTCCTTCCACACCACTAGAGTAAAATATATGCATACTAGAGGCCTGGTGTATGAATTCGTGCACAGGTGGGGTCCCTCAGCCTGGCCAGCGATCAAGGCCTATCGGGGGGCCAGCCAGCTGGCCGACCGGAAGGACCCTGGGAGGTTGGCCAGCTGGGCCTCCCCCCATCAGGACCTATGGGGGGCCAGCATATCCGGGGGGGAGGGGGCAGCCAGGGGAGGGCTGGCAGGGGGAAGGGCCTGCAGGTGATTGGAGGGGGCCAATCGGGGCCAGGATCAGGATGGCTGGCTGCCACAGTGCCCGTCATAGTGACCGGTCATTCCGGTCATTCTGCCGTTCGGGTCACTGGGTGGCGATCGCTGGACCAAAGGGTCCCGGTTTCGATTCCAGTCAAGGTCACGTACCTTGGTTGCTGGCTCCTCCCCGGCCTGGTCTCTGGTCGGGGCTCATGCAGGAGGCAACCAATTGATGTTTCTCTCTGTCTTTCCCTCTCTCTTCCACTCTTCCTAAAAGTCAATGAAAAAATATCCTTGGGTGAGGATTACACTAGGTGTATCGGTTAATAATGCAGATTTTATAATCAAAGAAAACACAATAATTTCAAGAGAAACATCAAAAGTGCTTTATTAAAAGTAATGTCCATCACTAACATCATCAGCATTCACATTTCCCCCATCTTTCAAGTAATTTGTGGAGGCAAACCATTCAGAGACCCAATTTTCCACTTCTTTGTATGTTTTGAACTGCTGCTCAGAAAGTGCATGTTCCATCGATTGGAACAAGTGGTAATCTGAAGGAGCAAGATCTGGTGAATACAGTGGGTGGGTTAATACTTCCCAGGCAAGATCTTTTAAGATGTCTTTAACTGGTTTTAAAGTGTGTGATGGTGCGTCATCATGAAGCAAAATTACTTTGCCGTGTCTTCTGGCACATTCTGGTCATTTCACGATCAAAGCGTGGTTCAAATTGATTATTTGTTGTTGGTAGCAATTAGTATTAACAGTTTCACCTGGTTTTAGAAGCTCATAATACGCCACACCTTCCTGATCCCACCAAACGCAGAGCATTGTCCTCTTTCTGAAGTGATTTGGCCTTGAAGTCGATGCTGACCTGGATCAACCCATGATTTAGTGCATTTGGGATTCTCCAAATAAATCCACTTTTCATCGCCAGTCACAATTAGATGCAAAAAAGACTTTCTTTCGTCCTGTTGAAGCAACATTTTATTGACTTTCGGTTTTCCACTTGTCTTTCGTTCAGCTGATGTGGCACCCACTTCCTTCCTTTAAAATCTTTCCCATTGCTTGTAAACGATCGGAAATTGTCTGCTGAGCAACGTTTAATCTTTCTGCAAGTTGTTTTTGAGTTTGACATGCATCTTCATCCTATAATGCTTGTAATTGTTAGTCTTCAAATTTTTTCAGTTGACCTGGACGTTCTTTGTCTTTCACATCGAAATCATCACTTTTAAAGCATTTAAACCAGCGGTCACAAGTATCTTGAGCTGGAGCATGTTCACCATAAGCTTCCTGAAGTATTCAGCAGCACTTTTCTTCAAAATAAACTAATAAATTAAAACTTCCCGCAAATGCTCTTTTTTTCCGGCACGAAATTCGACATTTTTAAGTGTATGATGTTAACACCTTCAGAAAATTTGACATATGAAGTTTTGAAGCTTGTTGTCAACACAACAAAATAGCATACATATCAAATCACATATATATCAACATATGTGTAACTCCATCTATTGAAAAAAATCTGCATTATTAACCGGTACACCTAGTATAGATAATTGGAATATATAAAGTAGATAATATATATGTGTATAATTAAAACTGAATAAAGTAAAAGAGAAGTCAGGCTGCCAAAAAAGGGAAGTCTAGGAAGACAAAAATCATGTTCCAATCATACACAACTTCACAACTAAGGAAAACTCGACTGTGGAAAGGCAAAGTAAGTTACATGCAGAACAAAAACCCAAACCAGAACCCAATGCCTCTATAACACAGTCACTATCAAGTCCAAAGTTACCTTTCAATTTCTAGCTGTACAACCTATTAGCTTGACAGGACTCAAAACCATTCAGCTTCTTAAAATATCAATTCCTGTGAAATGAAGAGATATTCAGACTACCTAACAAATGATTAGGACCAAATACACAAATCCCCAACATCCTGAGGAAACTATTTCCTCTGTCTGAAGAAAGAAATGCTATATCTACAGAAGTACTAAGGAATGAGTATAATTCCCTTTTAAATATTCCTAGTGTTAAAAAAAAACAATAAAACCACACACACACACACACTTCTATATAACTTCTCGGGGGAAAAAGTGAAAAGGTTGAGATGAAGCTTAATCAATCTCCTTGCAAAACTCAATTTAAGGTCATGTCACAGAATATTAAATTTACCTATCTCCAATATGTGAGGTAAATCATATAAGCACCCTTTCTGCTGACAATCCAGGTCTGAAGTGACAATAGTTCATTTCTGGACCCAGACCGGACACTGGTCTATTCATCAGTGAAAACATAAATGCTGTACATAAATGCTGCCCGAACAACAGAGAGCATTTTCCTACAGATCCAGAGCAGATTTTTGTGAACATCCAATAACAAGAAGCCAGTTAATCACCCAAATGTTCAGGGGGTATCTCCAAAGTGCACTAGAAGATTAAAATGCCAATATAAGAAGTCAGTTATCAAGTCAGAACCTGCACGTTTTAGATAAGAAGTTTTACAGCCCAGTGGCTTGGTCAGGGGTTGGGGGTGGAGCACGGAGTGCGGGTTGGGAGGAGACAGAAAGCTTATTATAAGGACTTTTCTCCTTCAACAAGGAAGCAACCAGCTAACAAAGCGGCAACCATTTTGAGGCCACCAAGAGATGTTGGCTCAGCACGTGTTTTGATAAACTCTAGGATATTCCCAAGAACAAACCAGACAAGGAGCCTTAAATCTCCTCACCGGGAACAGCTGCTGGCACTTTCCACCTTGCCTGCCACTGGCACATGCCTTGACTTTAAAAGATTTGACAAAAGAGTTATAGCTCTGAACTTCCTCGACTTTAATTAAAGTTGGCGTCCACTTCTGAAAAATCCTCAAGTTTTAATTTTGTTTTGTAGTCCCACTAATGCTTTTAAATGAGAGATGCTGTGAAAAGGGGAAGCAAATTCTTTGCAGCTGTGTTTGAGCATCCTGCCAACTGAAGCACAGGAAGAAGCTCTCCCATGCTAAAAAATTTCCAACTGGGAGATTTACAAAACAGCAAGGGAGAATGGAGGGTGGAGAGGAAGACATATGCAAGGGAAAGATCTGCAAAAGGCTTCCTTTTTTGTTTTTAAGTCCCAGGAGCCTTTGGAGGCTGTCATGCTTCATCGATTGCTACCCCCTCCCACTTTACCCCCTTTCTAAAGCCACCGTCCTTTCCATACAGGCTTGCAGACAGAGGTACATATTCTGCAGAACTACTGCTTCGAGGTTCCTTTATTTTACTCCCATCTCCCCAGGCCTCCCCAACAGTTATTCTGTCACAAATGGATAATGGAAGGAAGCTTAACAAGGAGGTAGCAACCATTTTCCCTTGACTAAATGAAGTCCTGGAGTTAAGCTGCACTTCTAAGAAGGAAATGACAATCATTTTGGCAAATGAACTTTTTAGTTTCTATTAGCAGCAGCAAGATAACCATTGTCAACAATAGCAAAAGCTCAAAAATGAGCTTTTTGGTTGTGTTGTTAAAGCGCTTATGTGGGAAAATCTAGCTATGCCATTATGAAAAACTAATTCAGGTCAAATGCACCATCTGAGAGGGTTTGGAGATACTATTTTAAATTTCTGTATTGGTTATGGTAATGGGCTTTGCAGAGAAGGGAAAAAAAAGTAGTGGTCACCACCCCTTCTCACAATTTCCAGTAAGCAGGTAGGCAGTTAGGAGCAAAGGTTTCATTATCACCCACCATCCATCCCCCCCTGGCCACCAAGAGATGGGGGGAGAGGAGCAGGCCATATCCTCACTACGGCCAGAGTATAAATGACTGATTCATTTATACTAGAACTCTGGCGTTAAGTTCTGACTCACTAGCATTCTGGAAGGCTATGTCAATGTGCGCTCCATGGAACCAACTTTCCTCCTGCTGAATCCTCCAATGAATAGAGCTTATTCCCAGGGCCCCAAGTAACAACACAACATCATCCTCAGGAATGTAGGTGAAATACATAGCCCTCCAGGGATGAGTATGCACACAGCCCA